ACATTTCTTCAGCAAGATCCTTAGATAACACAGGAGGATTTTTTTTTTCTGCGGGAGAGAAGAATTAATGCTTATTTCAATTACAATAGGTCATCCTAACATACAAATGATTGGTACACCTCCTGCATTTTTCACTGTAGGCATTTGCTTTGTTCTCAAATTCATTTTTAAAATGTACTATGATGTAAGCTCTTATTTAATCAGTCTACATGATATTTTCCCAAACTCTGGGTCAGCTGCCTTCAACCCTGGTCCTTAGGACCCCCTGTCTCTCATCTTTGATGTCATCTCTCCTCACCTAACCCTAACCCTGCCACTAAAGACCTGACTTTAATAAATGGGTGAGAAAGTAATTCCATAGTTTTATTCTGGCACGTTAGAGCAGAGACATATTTGAAACATGGCAGGTATTGGGTCTAAAGGAAGAGGATTACTGTATAGCCCAAATTTCTGGGGAATAACTAAGGGTGTAAATAATAATCGTTTTGTATCGATGCATCGATCCAAAAGCCGACGATCCGATGCATCGATATGTCCGCAAGAGAATCAATTCATGTTTTTTTTCCTCTGGTCAATTTTTATCCATGTGCTCCTGGGTGTAATTCTCCCTCCGTGATGCGGTGGCGCTAAACCTATTTTGCCCTCCTACCTCGCTTCCTGGTTATACTCTTACAGCAGTGTATTGCAGTGAGCTTGACACAGACATTTTTAATTTATGCTCAATATTGAAGCGTGGTCTGTGCTACACACTGTGGGTCTAGATACGGCCTAGGCGGCGAGGAAGTGGGGGCGAGTTTAGTCCGACGACGGAGGGAGATGAGGGCCAAAAACAGCGGAGATCCAGGTGGAAAAAGGGTCCCAGCGTTCTCGCGCACCTCGCTCTTCTAGCGGGTCAAACTTCACGAGTTGTTTTCCGCAATTTCGGTCATAAAAACAAAAGAAGTCGGCCTCCTGTCTGCTGCACTGTCTGCAGTCAGCTACAATTTGGGAGAGGAGCAGCGGAGCGTCTGTTGAGGGTGCGGGGACGTCGACACTCTAGTATTTAATTGCACTCATTGCACTGATTTTGTGCAGTATTTTTTTATGCAACTTTTCTACTTCTTTTATTTGCTATTGTTTCTAAAAAAAAATAGCATAACAATATTATAGCTTTCATTGATTTATTTTAAACTTGAAACTTTGTATAGCCTGTAAAGTGAAAAAAAAAAAAAAAAAATTAACCGATTAATCGAATCGAATCGTGGTGTATACTTGAGTATCCATGATAATCGAATCGTTGGGTCAGGAAATCGATACTGAATCGAATCGCCATGATTGATGTGATTTACACTCCTTGGAATAACCGGGACATTTTTAAGCAAATGGGAGATGATCGTTTGTTCACCAATGGGCACCTATCTTTTAAGCTCTCCTGTGGATTTCATTTTTACTCAGTCTCTGTATTATTGCAGAAATATACTGCCTTAACAGAGAGATTGGTGGACTAAAGTGCTTTTGATCCTGTTTTTGGTTTTTATGATTTCCTAGGTGAGGCATCAATGCACTCTAGGGAAAATGGTTCTAGATTGTTAAATAAACTGGTGCTATAACTGTGATTTAAATACTGGAAGCATTTAAAATGACTTTGTGACCTTTTACAGACAAATAAATGTGAATCAGTTTTCTAAGATTGGGTTATGAAGTGTAGCTTTATGCTAATTTAGCTTAATTTATGCTGTCAAAGAAGATGGATTTAAGCGAATGCTTTACAATCAGAGTCGGATTAAATTAAAATCTATTTAAATTGCATTTTACATTTACTTGAGTGATCTTTGTCTAAGATGAAATCTGTTTGCAAAGAAAAAACCATCAAATGTCGAAAAAACACAAAAAGAAATATGTGATGAAATGACTTTTCACTACAGAAAAACAAGCTCCGTAATATAAACACAAACAGTTCTCCCAAAAAAATTACACTTTGCTGTCATTTTATCATGAAGCAGATTTAGAAGGTGGATATTCAATATGTGTTTATATTTCATACTGCAAAGAGTATAGTGTAGGTGTTACCCCCACTTAAAAATCCTGATTAGATAACTACTACAAACATTTATCCAAATGTGTAATTATTATTTATTTGGCAGTCTTTGTTATGTCTTTTTTTTTTCAATTAAAAAAATAATGACAAACACAAACTTACGATCAAACATGTTTGCACTGAACGATAATGCCTAAAAGTTTCATAATAAATAATAATAGTTTTTATACGTTAGTTCTACTTATAGAAAGCAGATGTATTCCACCAATAGCATCGTTGGAGAACAATTCCTTCCATTGAGAGAAAGCTATTTAGCAACAGCCTTCCAAAACTTTTGCTGTAAACAGAAGTTTAAGTTCCATTTTGAAATCTGACAGCAGAAGTATGACAGTGGAGCTGTGTATAAAGCATTCCCAGTCCAAACACCTCACCAGGGAGTTGTTTACTTTTTCTGTCTGGACTCACTATACTGGCTCTTAAGCTCATCATCTGGTCTGTGGGCCAGCTGCAGCTGTGGATGCTGACATTAGCATTGCAAAAGCTTGTCCTTGCCATAATAAAGGGAGAGGTAGCTATGGTCATGGGACCTTAGGGACCCACCGTCTACAGTACGGTTTGAGAAACCCTCTGATATGACCTGGTGCTTGTATATGAGGAGCTCTCAATGTCATTAAAAGTATATTTTAATTATATTTTAAAATAAACATAAAGCTCTTGCAGCTTCAGACCTGGATTCGAATCCAGGCTTGATTCAGATCTGAATCCAGGCTTATACACTGCAAAAAATGTACATCTAAATAAGAAATTTTTTCCTAAAATAAGTGCATTTTTTCTTGAACTGAGGTGTTAATTGAGACACTTGGCCAATGGAACGAGATAATTTACATTTAAAATAAGAAAAAAATAATGCATTGTCTTATTTCAAGTTCATATTATCTAATTATCTTATTTTTAGAGTAAAAATACTCATTGCATTGGCAAATAATTTTATTTACCTACTCAAATTAAGGGCAAATACACTAACTTTAAGACATTATTACTTATATCTGGATCGTTTTTGCAGTGTAGAGTTTGGTCAAAAGCCTGGCAACAATATTTTTAACAACTTTTAGGTAAGACATATGTATAATTCACTGCATAAATCCATTCATGCTGAAACAAAAGCATATTATTTCGAGTTAAGAAAGTGTTACATTGACACCCAATTTAGTAGTCATTCTCAAATTATTAACACAGGAATAAACTAATGTTTTACATGTATATACCAAAAATCAAGGGTGGTGCTAAGGTACATAAAAAAGGTTTTTGCCTTGGAATCAACAGGCCAAACTACTGTATCTGTTTATCCTGGACATTGCATTATGTAATTTAGAAAAAAAATAAAAATAACATTTTTCACCTGTCCAGACCCAGCCTGAGTACTTCATCAAATCATAAAGTTACATGACAGTAACAAGAGATGTCTGGAAATGTCAACAGAGCACCAAATCGAGGTAAATGCAATAAAAGTAGCAAAGACACCAAAACCAAACCTTGTGGTACACCAGGAAGGTACATATAACGGGCTAAACTGTGTCAGAATTTACTGCTAATTTTTGTTTTGTTAGAAATACTAGTTATACTCACAAGTGATACAAATGGACACACATGCATTTTCAGATTACATGATGCAATAATGCAAATTGCACTAATATTGGCCTCTTAGCACTGCCTAAAATTGTCTTATCCTTATTTAAGATATTTAGAATCGCAAATGTTTGTGCTTTCCACTACATGAGTCCCGTTTCATTCCTTCCTGACTGAAAGTGTCAGTAAACATAGTGGATAAAACTCCATGTTAAGGTTCTAAAGTAAACAAAGTCACATACGTGACGAAGCCCACCTGATTGTTATGACGATAAATGAATCCTGGGGAGCTAGGTTCGTCCCCTGGGGATCCCCTCACTGAGAAGTTCAGAGTGACTGGTGTAAAAGGCAATCATTCTGGAATTTAAAGAGCCATTGACAGTAGAGGGTATGTTGCTTTAGGTTGCTGGTTTTTAAGCTTGAATACCTCCAGTGTAACCTGACTCTGCCAGATGGATTTGCTCCGCATATCCATCTGGAAACCTTCCGTTGAAGAAATTTTGGGAAGGGGCGAAAATACTGGTTAGCTGATTGGCCTATGTTGGTGATAGACGGGCCAAATAAACCAATCAGATCAACGAAGAATATGACGTACTAACAGAGCGACGATGAAAACACAAACACAAGCCAGGCTACTCTTGCTGCTGCAGGTAAAGGCTCATTAGCTCAGCAAATAAGCAACATGTCGGCAAAGGATACTATATTTCAGTGAAGAAATACTGTGTAATTCTGATAAAACTTGCTTGATAGCCAAGCTAACGCTAGTTTCATCGGCTGAAGCCGCCATGTTCTTTAGACTGAACTGTCGCTCTTCTCATTGCGTCACACCTCAACCCGCCTCAAAGCCAACGCTGATTGGACGTTCGTTTGGTGAACGGATCCAGATTTTCCAGACTGATCTGCGAGTGAAACCTTGAAAGCTCGCGAGATCAGGATGGTCTCACGAGGCTACCTCCAGTGGCCCAATACTGTGATGATGCTTGTGCATCAGATTTACAGGTGTACAAGAAACAACAAATGCCAAGGTTCCCATTTTATACATCAGTATATATATAAAGAAATACAATAAACATATATTATTTTTTTTTTACATGTTAAAATTTAGATAATGAATTTATAGAAATTAGCTCATTAAAGTCCCAGCCCTATTTTAGAATTTTTCTCATGGGTGAACTTTACTTTTAAACAGGCTCCTCAGAGCTTTGTTAGCTTGACTACGTCCCAATTGCTTTATTTTTGTACTCTAGCCAAGACAAAAATCTGCTTGTAACTACTCTATATGATCCAGTTTATCCACATCATTCCTTTTTGGTGCCCAGCGGATTAAGACACAAGCTGAAGTATAAATATTACTTACTCTCAACAGTCAGGGTGATTGGTTGGCTGGTCTTGTTCTCTCCATTTATGTCATTTACGGCTTGTACGTAGTACCGCCCGGCGTCTGGTGCCACCGAAGACAAGATAACCAATGTGTTGTCCAAAGTAATTGCACTGAAAAGAAAAGAAAACAATGAAGATTAAGTGCATAAAACGTAAATAAAAAGGTCAAGATACACACTGATACATTTAAAACACGAGATCTGAGTTCCAACGTAGTTTTCTTTAAAAAAGAATATGCAGTTGGCATCTTCAGAGGCTGCGTTGTCTAATTAAGGCTAAATGTGTTTGAAGTGTATTTGGTCCACAGTTGATCCCACTGCTGAATGGAACATCAAACATTTTACTATTTAATTACACTGTTCAAACAGCGTTAAGTCGATTGATTTACAATGTGTAAACAATGTTTAAGTGCTGAACGAGCATAGGAGAAATATCGACATCCTCTCCTTACTCAAATATGATGTCCTTGCATAATAAGCCAAAGCAATTAATTGGATGTTTGTACCTCACCGCTTCCTATGACCTGTTTCCTGGCAGGTAGCCACTTTTGGAGACAATAACATTATGTATACTGGGCGCTTAAGTCTTAATAAATAAACACTGATTAAACCTTCAGCAACTTGTCTTATAGACCAAACATCTAGTTTGTTCCTGACGTCTTCAGGCACTCCTTTTTACCCTTCGTGAACATAGAAGCCAGTAAAGATAAAATCCTTCTTCCTGCTCCATGATGTTCTGGTCCCCTGACCATGTTTGCAATCAATACTCTTTTATTATCTGAACTTGTTCTGCACAGCATGATACCACGTTTCAGCTGGGTGCCTGCCTCCCCATGTCTGTCCTCTGCTTTTCTTTTTCTCTGCTCTTTTTTCTTACCTTATATTCATTTCTAGATTTATTTTTACCAATATTCACCTTTGTAATAGACCCTGACTTAACATACACAGCAAATAACGACATAATTCTATAAAAACCCTTAAAAAAACAATAGATATACACATATTTTGTTCCAACTGCTCTGATCCGTCATGGCACTTGAACCTTTGTCGGATAAAGAAATGTGAGCCACAGAGGAAAACAACTCTGAAAGAAAGGAAAATACACACGTTTGTGCAGCGTTTTTTAGAACTATCACAGAGGAAAATTTAATTTCCACCCTAAAGCACTTCCTACTAAAGAAATGCATGAAAGAAATTGCTGGTAATGATAAGATGCAGGTGCTTATAGACCTAAGTGCTTGTTTTAAACAGCAGCATAAAAAAACGGTTCCTGTTTTTTTTTTTTTTTTTTTTGTGCGTTCTGTTTTGTGGAAGCACTGGAGTGTAGTTGTTGGATAAATAAAATCTAGACAATACATAGAGTTTTAACATTTTTCAAAGATTGTAAAGAAAATTATGTTAAATTGTTTACTATTAGTTTTGATCAGGGCTTGTCATTTACATCCAATATCAAACTAGTTTCTAGAATGTAATTATTTAATCTCTGGAATAATGCAATGATTAAAAATATCCTGTCCAGGGGGGATGCTGAGAAAGTATTCCATTCATTTTGCTACTTTAAGGCTGGACTATTGTCAATCTTTACAATCTGGAAGTCAACAAACTGTAGTTAAAAGCCTTCTGTTGAGTTTTTATGAAAATTAAAAGGAGAGATCATATTTCTGATATCTTTACTTCTCTTTATTGGCTTCCTATTAAATCTAGAATAGAATTTAAAACCCTCTTCCTCACATATAAAGCCTTAAATGGCCAAGCTCCATCTTATATCAGAGATATGATTCATCTTTATGTCCCTAACAGAGCACTTCGCTCTCAATCCCATTCTACTTTAGAAATTTCGTTCCTAGAATTTCTAAAGCAGAAAGTAGAATCTCCTGTGGAACCAACTACCAGTTTTAGTCTGTGAGGCAGACACCCTGTCTACTTTTAAGGCTAGGCTTAAAACTTTCCTTTTTGATAAAGCTTCTAGTTAGAGTGGCTCAGGTTATCCTGAGCTATCTCTATAGTTATGCTGCTATAGGCTTAGACTGCTGGAGGACATAGGGACCCCTTTTCATCATTCTGCTTCATTCGATCTACACAGTAGTAGCCATTTGAAATTTGCCCACTTTCCTTAATGGGCCCTTGGGTTGTCCTTGGATGCTCCCCTACAATTCCTTTTTAAACATCTAAAATATTTTTTCTGTCATGATTTGTGGGCATTAAGATCTTAAGAGATGCGTCATTTCCTGGTCAGACCCTGTCATTCAGTGAAAGGGTGGAGTATGAAAGAGGGGGTCACTCCAGTGGCTGGAAGTTGGAGAGGATTTCGCTGGGAGTTGGAGGGAAGGTGGCTGCCATTCGGCTGGAGTTTGACTGGGAAGGCCCATTTTGAATGGCTGCTTCTGTATTCTCCCATTCTGCAGTATTTATTAGTTCAATCTCTCTGCCTTTTCTCATAGTAGCTTCATGTGGTCTGCTCCCCTCACTGCATGAAAAGTGGGATTTTCGTCAATATACGGCACTGTAGATTGTCGTGGAACTTCAAGTTAGCGGCAGTTTACGGCAATTTGCAGGCTTTGTCGAAAACTCCCGTAAATTGTCAGAAATTGACGTGGACTCTCTTAGGCAGTGTTCCCCCCATGCCTCCCCCCCATGGAATTCTAGGGGAGGCTTTAACATGTAAATGAACATGCTGTGAGCTATACAAATGCAAACCAGGGTTGCAGGGGGGGTTTTACCCCAAGTGACATCTTTCTGGGTAAGAAATTCTCTGATACAAAGAGATCAGGCTTAGTATAGCCTCTTACATTTTAGCTTGAATTGATTTATTTAATTAAAGTATAGAGACCAAAACAGATCTTTAGCTGACAGAGCAATACATTTAGAGCAGTAATTATAAAAAAAAAAAAAATTGCATTTAAGATAAAAAATAAAATGTTGTCTGTCAATATGCTCAATTCACAATTACTTAAGTGGAAAAGTTTCAAGAAATGAGTCTGAGATGATTCACTTTATAACATGGCGCATTATCCTGTTGGAAGTAGCCATCAGAAGATTGGTACACTGTGGTCATACGGTCTGGCCAGGTCAAGATCCGCAATTGCAATTGCACCAAACAGGAAAAAGAACATCGACAAATTCCGGTTCGTCAAATTAAAATATAGCAGCAACAGATTGGTGACTAGAAATTATAGCACAATTCTTATATATATATTAAAAAAAAAAAAAACTAACACCGTTTATTTAAATGATTGGATCCAAACTATTGGTTATTCACCAACGAGGAAGCAGATTTCTCATCTCCATCAAAATATTTATTTGATACCGAGGGACTTAAACTTTAATCAAATCCATTCAAAAGAAACTTCTTATTACAGGAATGAAAAGAGATGCTGAGTTTGGAAGTAGTGAACAAGTTCATTAAAAAAAAAGCAGTTTTGAATTATCCTTATCCCCGTTACAAAAATCTACACAAATATAAATATATATTTGGGCAGAAACTGAACATGTGCTGGATGATGGTGGGATTTTTTTAATATGTCATATTAAATTAAGCGCTCACAGGGTTCATACAGGAATGAGTGACTCTAATTTAATGCTATTTTAATGCTATTTTTTAATTATTTTTATTGATCCGCGGACACCCTGGTTCATCTCGCGCATGCTCTGTACGATCTCCAAGAAACCCAGAGCGGCGTGGTGTGCAGCCCACGTGGAGGATGTATGCTTTGCTTTGTGCAGGCGGTCAGGAGCGGAGAATGGGGGATTTCGGGGTAGGGTGGCCATTTCTATAGCACCAAAAAGGAGGACATTGTGCGGCATATCAATAAATTACTAAAAGAGGATGCTTGTGTAGCTGAATAGAACAAAATATTAAAGAAATGTAAAAAAGAATTGGTTCCCAGCATTTGTATTTATTTAATACATTGTGGTGTTTAAAAAGTGACCATTTTTAAACAAAAGTGACCAAAAAAAAATAAAAAATAAATAAATAAAATAAAAAGTGACCATTTTTTAACACGATTAATTTGCGCAGAACTGCTGCAATTGATCATAAAGCAGTTGTTTGGAAAAGAAGCTCGAGAAAGAGCTAGAGAATAGGACGATGCAAACTGCAAAAAGTGGCTGGAAAAGAGGAATTCATGACATGGCCGCAGCCTGTCGAGAGTAAAGATGATTTCACCATGTTCTCTATCTATCCATATCTATATATATATATATATATATATATATATAAACTTGAGTCATGGAACTGTGCTTACAGCTCCTTATTTCATGTAAACTAATAACTTGTGTACATGATACTTGTTGATGGCATTAAAATTATTTCTAATAGCATTAAAAGAGCATTAAATTAGAGTTCCTCATTCCTGTATAAAACCTGTGAACGCTTAATTTAATCTGACATATTAAAAAAATCCCCATCATCATCCAGCAGATGTTCAGTTTCTGCCCAAATATTTTCTTTCTGTTGTGGATTTTTGTAACAGGGATAACTAGGATCATACATAGTTTGTATGAACTCTGTTTATTCTCTGCTTCCAAACTCATCATCTCTTCATCCATTCCTGCAATAAGAATTTTCTTTTAAAGTTGTGAGATTCACTCTAGAATCTCACAACTTCTTCCTGGTCTGTTGAAGCACCAATAGTCTGCATCCGATTATTTAATTAATTGCTCTTAGTTTTTGGGAATATATACAAACTATGCTCTAATTTCTAGATACCGATCTGTTTTTACTATAATTTAATTTGACAAACCGGGTCTTCTCTACATTCTTTTTTCTGTTTGGTGCGATTGCAATAGCGGGTCTTGATCTGGACGGACCGGAGGGGAGCAAAAAATAGCTCAGCTCCGTATTTTGACGGTGAAGGACGGAGAAGACGTACGTGGGCGGTGACGAGCGGAGGATGTGGAACAGCTCTCATTGATTTACATGACAGACAAGTACTCCGTACGTGAGCGGGGCGGAGCGCTGACGGAGTATGTGGAATCTGGGAGTAAAGGAGGACAAATACACGTCCGGCTGGGTGCAGCGCCGGACGCCGGACAGTGCAATGAAAATCCGGACTGTCCGCCCTAAAGCCGGACATCTGGCCACCCTAACCCCCAGATTCCACATACTCC